TAATACTTACTTAGGTTAAAGTTTTAAGGTTTAGGTTAGGTCGACCTTCGTCGTTGTAGTTAGTTTAAGGTAAGTAGTCTAACTTATAGTCTAATAACTACTACTATATATATATATATATATATATATATAAGAAAAGTCTTCCCAATGCCTACAATGATTTCGCCTACCCTCATCATCGTCCAAAGTTCATCGCACAGTCACGATTGTCTGGCAGTGTTTTATTTTTCATTTTTTTTCTACAAATCGGAATGATCTGAAATTTGGAGCATGTGTATATCTTAGTGATGCGCACCTAATAAAAATATAAAAAAAATAATTTGCGAAATAAAAATTGACCAAAATACCCTTGAAACTTTTTAGGGGTATTTTGGCAATGTTTTTCATATAAAATATTTTTTTGCTATTTTTCGTAGATTCACCTATTTTTTATGAACACACGCTCCAAAATTTTCAAGTCATTCTAATTTGTAGAAAAAAAAATGAAAAATGAAACACTACGGGACATTCATGATCGTGTGATGAATTTTGGACAGTGATGAAGATAGGTGAAATCACTGTTCGTATTCGCCTATACGTGTTTTGCAATATCTTCCATATATATATATATATATTTGAACATGAAGACCTGAAGTGTTTCAAATCCTTACCATACATGATGTGATATATATTCGGACATGAAAAACCTGGAGTTGGAGCTTTTCAGTTCCTTCGTATATGTGGCATGAATGTTTTTTATGTCCTGTCAATGCACATTCTGTAGGCCTAATTTTTTGGAAAGTATTGTGCCTCTTTATAATTGACTTTTTGCTAGGAGCTTGAATGGTCATTGAACCTATTGTTTTTGTAAATGTCAGAGATAGCAAATTAACAAGGTTATTGAGGGATTCCTTGGGAGGGAAAACAAAGACATGCATCATTGCCACCATATCGCCTTCAATTCATTGTCTGGAAGAGACACTTAGCACATTAGATTATGCACACCGTGCTAAGAATATCAAGAACAAACCTGAGGTGTGTGAATTTATACCCATAGCACAATGTGTCAGTGTTGAATTTATACCATATCGCCTTCAATTCACTGGTGATGTTTTATCTCTCTCCATGCATTTATACCCATAGCACATTGTGTCAGTGTTGAAAATTTTCTGTCTCACTTAAATTCAGATTAATCAAAAGATGATGAAGTCTGCACTGATCAAGGATTTGTATGGAGAGATCGACCGCCTCAAGCAAGGTAAATTTCTGTTTGCTGGCCCTTTTTCCTTTCAATTGAACTTTAATTGAAAGGTTATGGCATTCCTTTCTTTATGAATAGTCATATTATTTCATGTCTTTCTGAAAAAATCTCAAGCTTGACTTGTAAATAAAACATCGAATCACAAATGCAAAACTTAATGCATGGCATGAAACTACCAGAGAACATAAAGGAAAATTATCATGCCTAGTAAAAGATCATTACAAGTGCCACTTTCACATGTGGAAACAATTGAAATAGTACATTTCTGAAATCTGTTTGCAAAGAATACATCAATGGCATCTTCAAAAAAAAAGAAAAGAATACATCAATGGCATGAAAAAGATATGAAAAGGAAATTATGAGGAAATGGATCCATGCCTTACAATGTTCAAGTAACCATAATTGAAGGTACTTTTGTAATTTTGAAGATGGATTAGGTATGCATGATGACATATCTCATTCTAAAAGGGTACCAAGGTGAAAAGTGCAAGATTTATCCAATCTTATTTCTGGAACCACTTTCAAACAATCTAATGACAAACATCTTGGTAAGGGGAATACTATCCAAAGAAGCATTTTAACTTTGAACTTCTAGTTAGCATGTAAGATGGCCTAAACATTTAGGCAAAGTGCCACGATTTTAAGGATTTTCTCAGTTGCTTCCTTGTATCAGTCTGTGAATATCTGTCTGTGAATATTGTTCTACTCTAACATCAAAATCTTTTACCAAACGTAGTGGTGCTTGATTTTGTGATATTGTCAGAATTCATAAACAGTTGACTCAAGTGTTTACTATGCACGGTTCTTTGTCTTAATAGAGGTATATGCTGCAAGGGAGAAGAACGGAATTTACATTCCACGTGATAGGTTCTTACATGAAGAAGCTGAGAAGAAGGTGTGTTTTAATTGAGACAAAAAAGTGGAACTTCATTGCTATTAATTGAGACAAAAAGGAAGAGTGGGTATGTTTTGGGATCAGAATATGATGTCCTTTCTTGCTTTATTCAGGCCATGGTGGAGAAGATAGAAAGGATGGAACTTGAATCAGAAGCCAAGGACAAGGTATGGAGGAGATTGAACAATCGTTTGTACTCCTTTCAATTTGCATTTTCATAGAAGAGGACTGACTCTAGTATTATCCAAAACAGCAACTGATGGGACTCCAGGAGCTTTACGATTCTCAGCAACTATTAACTGCAGATTTAAGTGACAAGCTTGAAAAAGCCCAGGTAGAATATAAATGGGTTATGCTTTTTCTTTTGGGTGGTTTTTCTTGTCCTTCATTGCCTGTTGTTTTTCTGTTGACATATTTTTTCTCTTCTGTGGGGCATTTATGTAGAAAAAACTTGAGGATACTGAGCATGCACTCTCAGAGTTAGAAGAAAGATACCGACAGGCAAATTGTACGATCAAAGAAAAAGAATTTTTAATATCTAATCTCCTTCGATCAGGTGACCATATTATATCTTTTTACATACTATATTTTTTTTACATTGCTGCTTCTGTTTTGGTTTCTAGCTCATTTGATGCATTCGTTTGCATTCTCAGAAAAGGCACTTGTTGAGCATGCAATTGACCTTAGAACAGAATTGGAAAATGCAGCCACTGATGTCTCTGGTTTATTTGCCAAAATTGGTAGGTGTCCTTTTTTGTTGTTGCTAGTTTTTTTATATTGTCAAATATTTCAGGCAGTAGAATGGTTAGAGTATCTGCTGAACTTTGTTTGTTGTTACTTTTTCTAGAGCGCAAGGATAAGATAGAAACTGGAAACAAATGTCTTGTTGAAATATTCCAGTCTCAATTAACTCAACAGCTTGACCTCTTGCATAAGACTGTCGCGGGATCTGTAATGCAACAGGAACAACAACTTAAAGGAATGGAGGAAGACATGCAATCATTTGTTTCTACAAAATCTGAGGTATAAATTAACTAAAACTAGCATGGGCGACAACCCTTTTAGAGATTTTCTTTCATTTAAATATAATTTGCATCTCTCTTATTGACCTTGGGCCATTTTTGTTTTCTTTTTCTTTTTCCTGATTTTAATTTGTAGGCAACAGAAGTGCTTCAAGTTCGGGTGGGAAAGCTTAAAGACATGTATGCCTTTGGTATTGGAGCTCTAGATGATCTGGCAGGCGAACTAGACAAAAATTCTCAAACAACTTTTGGAAGTCTAAATTCTGAAGTGTCTATGCACTCATCCGCTCTTGAGGATGTGAGTCAGTTCTATGCACTAAGTTTCAATTTTATCCTTTTTCTATGAAAGCCATGTTTTTTAATCTTTTTTTTTATGACCACACCAGTCTTCGCACCAGTGAAGTTGCTGGTCTAGTTAATCGTTTGGTTTGGCAGTTGAAATTGGGTTCAGCCACTTTAAAAAGTGAATTCTTTTGAGTGATGGGAGCTAAAATGGCCCTGGTTGCAAAGTTTACATAATTGAACCACATGCTTTAACAAAAATTCAAAATTTGGAACATATTTTTCTAGAAACTTTGGGAGTGTCATGGTGGCAAGAGAGAAAGGAAAAAAGGGGTGGCTGCTGCCCCCCCTGAAGGGGCGGGGGGGTGTATGAGTAGTTCAGGAGGTCTTGGAGGGTAAATTCATGCCTCTAAAACATTTGTTTTAATTTTTAAAAGGAAAATTTTTTATATAGAGCCGAGGCTCTAAACAATCAAATTAGAACCCACCTCAAAAATTTCAGTAGAAGAGGTTGTTTTGATGCCCAAATATCCTCAAATTAATCATCTCGACGACAAGATGCATGGACATGAGAAAAAAATGGATTTCAAGTTTTGGAAATAGTGCATCTTGTAACACATTTTTGGACCGGTTTTCAAGATTTTCAAGTTTTCATAGATCTGCTCGATCTACACTATTTTTGAAGCTTTAAATTTTATAAATAAAGATGAAAATATATTTTAAGGCTATCCTAAATATTTCCAGTATTGAAACCAAATTTCTCGACACTATTTGAAGGTGCGCTTTAATTTGATTGTTTTGGGCCTCAAGTCTATACAAACCGCACCCTTTTTAAAGACATGTGCTGCTTATGTTATCTATTCAAATCTATAGTCATTTTAGTTATTCAAGATCATATGCAAGTTGGTGAATTGTGACAGCTGTTTTAAAGGTTAAGCAGTGGTGTTGAGTTTTGATTCTCACCCTTTCATTTCATAAGCTTTTAGAATATGGTACTTGAAAACAAACTCTTGTGGCATTGACTTATTTATTCTTTGAAATAGCTCCTTGGACGGATTGCTCTGGAGGCTTGCTCGATACTTGATGAACTTCAGAGTGGGCTTTCTGATCAAGAGAGAAGACTGGCCTCCTATGCACAACAACAGCGAGAGGTAAGAATTTGAAACTTGATCCATTTTCTTTTGGTTGTAATTTGAGTAATGGTTACCTGGTTATTAAAAATGAGGATAGCTTTTGTTTTTTTTTTTTTTTTTTTTTTTGTGATGCAAAATGTATAGATGGTCGTCGGATTCACAAGATCTTAGTTTTATTTGTCTCTATTTCTTTAATCACAGGGATATCTCAGAACAATTGAGACTACACGATCCATCTCAAAGATAACAGTGGACTTCTTCAATACTCTTGACATGCATGCATCTGATTTAAGTCACATTATTTTTGAAACTCAGGCTGTTCATGATCAAAAGTTGTGCGAACTTGAGAAGAAGTTTGAGGTGGTTCCTGTAGGCCATCCCAAATACCATACCTTACTATGATGGTCCTCTATTTTTTTTAGTATCTAAACCTCTCTGTCTTTGCATGTTTGTAGGAGTCTGCTGCAAATGAAGAAAGACAACTCTTACAAAAGATGGCTGAAATGCTGGCAAGTTCAAGTGCCAGAAAAAAGGAGCTTGTGAGGCCCTCTTTCCCTCATTGTTTTATTGCATGCTAGAGCATTTTACGTTACATGTTTTGTGCAATAGGGATTCTTACATATTGAAAACCATACCAACCAATAGTAAATATTGACTTGCTATTGGATGGATAAGTATTTTCCCTGAGGCAGGACGTGAATATAATGGATCTTTCTTTTTATTTTATTTGAGACGTAGTCATACTTTATCCATTAAGTTTGCATGGGTCTTTGATGATAACATCCATTAAGTTTGCATGGGTCCTTGATGATAACATTTTCATAACCTACAAGTGAATTTCCTCTTTATTGCACTGAATCTACTAATATAAGTGGCATTCCAAAAGGGGGCCATAAATATCTCTTGAAGTTCTAGAAGCATTATTATTGTCCAATCTAGTCATATATTTCTTCAACTGGTATTCCAAAGGAACCATAATGTCTCTTTCATAATTGTTTTTCTGGAAGCGTTAGTGTTGTCCAAACTATTCGTTTTATTTCTTTTCTGTTGATCGTTACTGTCTAAACCACTAATAAATCTGTGGCTGCCAACCCTTATAAATTGTACTTGAAGGCAGTCTACTAATTGCAAGTTACTCTCTGCCAGGTGTCAAAAAATCTAGAATACCCTTGGTACTGACTTTTTGATTTTTCTGGAGTTGTCATCAAATCTTGCTCCAATGTGATCATCTCATTTGCTTTTCGTAGTAATTTTGCCTCTATTAAACTTTAAGATTAGGGCTAGAAATGCCACAATGTTGAATTCATTTGTATCACACATGTAGAGGAGAAATTACTTGCGTTAAGTGAATATTTGCAACAAATTACATAAACTAGCATGTGACATCATGGAGTATTTACAAATAATTGCAACAAACTACATAAACTAGTATGTGACACCATGGAGTATTTACAAATTTCTTAAATAACTTGGTGGGTCATGGTCTCATCTCACGTAGTAACATTCATCTATTGGAAAAAAAGCCTAAAAGCTGAAGAGATGTACAAAAACTTTGAATTTATATATGTCATCGTTAAGAGACTCTCAACTGTTTCTTTATACGTGCAATTGTAGTTTTGTTTAGTTGCAAATAAGTTTCAACATGCGTTTTATTCATATATGTCTAACTATCTTGATGATCATATTCAACAAAATTAGATATCAAGTTTTGATAGTCAAAATGATTTCCAGGCCTTGTAATTCTTGTCTGGAACTACCATTACATCACAGGAGAAACTTGGTCTAAGGAAAACTATCCTGTGTAGCTCCTTAGAAATCAATAGATCATACTTGTGTTAGGTTGATACCTTTAAAAATTGAATTGATCTGAGGTTAATTTATTGCAAACTGCTTATAAATATATTTACAAAGTTTCAGTATGGCATTCTCAGGTACTTATTGTCATTTTGTATATATGTCTGATTTGCTATTTTTTATTTTAACTTATGATTAGTTTATCTTCTAGTTAAGGTAATGCTAAATGTAGATAATTTACTTGTTTTATTGTTCTAGCTTGTCAATCATTTTAAGGCTTATTCACCCAAAAAAAATCATGTAAAGGCTCCTTTCCTTGGTTCTTACCTTAGATCTTCGTAAAAGAATGTACATGTAATGTATAGAGCTTGGTGCAGCAAACCATCTTGCTGAATGTACATGAGCTTGTGTAATTGACGTTACTAAAGTTTTATTTTTTCTATTTAACAGGAAAATTTTCTTTTTCTATTGATCCTTCAAATTTTCCATCTTATTTTGTCAATATTGAGTATGGGAATAGATACCACACCATGAGGGCATCCGCCGTCATTCTCCATGACTGAGGCTATTAGCTGCACCCTGATGAAAATCCATCATATCAGGAACTATGGTGTAATCCCCACTATCCATCAAGGGAACGGACAGTGGATGCCCTTGACATGTGTAATTGACGTTACTAAAATTTTATTTTTTCTATTTAACAGGAAAAAATATTTTTTCTATTGATCCTTCAAATTTTCCATCTTATTTTCTCAATGTTGAGTATGGGAATAGATACCACATATAATTTGTGTGCGTATATGCTGCACCATGAGGGCATCCACCATCATTCTCCATGACTGAGGCTATTAGCTGTAACCAGATGAAAATCCATCATATCAGGAACTATGCATATCAGGAACTATGGTTTAATCCCCACTATATCCATCAAGGGAACGGACAGTGATGCCCTTGTGATGTCAAATACACCATGCAGTGCTTGTGCATGATACACACATTCAGTACATGTTCCCCATAATCTTGCTGCCTATTTCTATAGTATTAAAGTGAAAGATCAAATATTCCATATCTCATCAACTACATCTCTAATTTTATTCTTCCATGAAAATCTTCTAATTTCCATTCACATTGCCATAGGAATTCTACCTGAAAATTCACTTTCTTTTGTAAACTACCCCAAATTCACTTTTATCCTATGGAAAAGCAATCTTTTACCAGTGACATTATTCAAGAGAAGTCTCCCTTCGGAATATTTAAAAATATGTTCTGGCAAAGAAAATGGTTTTGCATGCCGTATTTATCAGCATAGCACACCATGTCTTGCTTGTTTAGGTTCAAACTGCAATCTACAGCCTTCGTGAGGATGCTGCCAGTAGAACTAGTCAGTTGCAGAAAGGAATGTCAAGTGTGCAAGATTTCACATTAACTGTTAAGGATCATTGGACTACATACATGGGAAAGACTGAGAATCACTATATTGAGGACACTGCTACAGTGGAAAGTGGAAAGAAATGCTTGGAGGAAGGTCTTCAACAATGGTAAGAGAATCATTTTTTTTTTTGTTGTAGGGGTCCTCGAGTTGCATTTCCTTGGAAATCTTCTTGTTATTTTTCTGTGTTTATTTTCTTTATATCATCACCTATTGATTGAGCAGTGTAACAAAGGCGAGATCTGCAAGAGAGCAATGGAAACATGCACAAGAGTCTCTTTTGGGCCTTGAGAAGGCAAATGTCAAATCGGTGGATTCAATAGTCAGGTATCTGATCTATATTTATCCAAGTTATGTGTCATTGGGTATTAGCTTACTGAAACAAAAAGACTGTTGTGTATTCCTTGAGTAGGTACACCAAAACTTTGATTTGGCATTTCTGGATTGATGATTAGAAAAAAACGTTGGATGCAGAAAATAAAGGATAAATGTAGTTTCTCGAAATTTCTAACTCTTTCACTATTGATATAGTTTCTCGAAATTTCCAACTCTTTCATTATTGATATTGAAACAAACACAAAGACAAGCTATATATCAAAGAGAAATATTCCTAAGATTGATATTTAGTTTCATTTTCCTTTTGGTATGACAAAGAGGAATGACCCTAACGGAAGAAGGAAGCAGTGCGAGGTATCTGAGGAAAACATTAAGCAGTTCATATATAATTTTTTCTTTTGCAGGAATGGAATGGAAGCGAATCAGGTCTTACGGGCTAGATTATCCATAGCTGCCTCCAATTCTCTTGAAGAACTTTTACTAGAGAACAAGGGTCTACTGTCCTTCATTGATCGTAAGATCCCCCCTCCCCTCTCTCTGTGTGTGTTCATGAACACGTGCGTACTGTTTGCTTTGTATGCCTAATTTAGAGGAGCATTTGTATGTCTGATATTCCTACCTACTCTGCAGATGCCTTGAAGCTTGATCATGATGCCTGTGGCAACATAGATGCCACAATTGCACCATGTTTCAGTGACTTGAGGGAATTGAGGAGTGGACATTATCACAAGATTGTCGAAATATCCCAACAAGCAGGGAAATGTCTGCAAGAAGACTACATAGTAAGCTAATATTGTGTAGTTGGTCAAGAAAATTAAGATATCTTTATATCTAGAAACTCTCTCTCTCTCTCTGTCCCGCCGCCACCGCACCCCCCCCCCCCCCCCCTTCTCATATTTGGTAGCCTCTAAGCTTTCAAATTGTCTTTCTTTGCCTCGTATCAGGTGGATGAACCATCTTGTACAACTCCAAGAAGAAGAGCTTTCAACTTGCCAAGTGTAGCATCCATTGAAGAACTGAGAACCCCTAGTTTTGAAGAGTTGCTTAAGGCTTTCTGGGAGACGAGATCAGGGAAGCAAGCCAATGGGGATGTGAAGCAGTTTTATGAAGCTCAAGCTTATTCTCAAGCCTTACGGGATTCAAGAGTTCCACTTACTGCCATAAACTAGTAGAGTGACATGGAGAAGGCTTCCTGATATTAGAAGGGAATGCTTGTACAGTATACGAGCTTGATTGATTATTGTATTGAATTCAATTTGAGTTCTCATTATACAAGGTTAGGGAGAGAGGTGCGCGCTATTTATTTGTGTGATATATCTATTTGTAAGTTTGAGGAATTGTATCAGATTTTTTTGTAGAGAGTTTCACCTCTGTGAAATGGCCTCCCTGTTAGGGGATCATGCATGCCTTCAAGTATTAAAGGGGTCGGGTTATTTTGTTATGCAAATCATGGGATGAATATTTTGTTCGTTAATGTCAACGCATTGCAGTCTTATGAAAAACTATATGGTTGCCTTAAAAGAGTACCCCTTACCCCCTTAAAAGAGGTGTATTTGGGGGAAGAGTTTATATAAGGTTGCAACCTTAAAATGTAGAATTAAAGATGCACCTCAAAAATCCATCATAAAAGGTTCTTTACCCCCATAAGAGAGGTGTATTTGGAGGAAGAGTTTATACAAGGTTGCAACCTTAAAATGTAGAATTAAAGATGCACCTCAAAAATCCATCATAAAGGGTTATTTTGATCATCGAGATGTATGAATATGAAAAGAAAAAAAGATTTCAAGTTTGCAAAATAGTGTATCTTGCAATACATTATTTGGACCATCTATTTTCGAGATTTTCAGGTGTTTATAGATCTACTTGATTTGAACCATTTGATTTGAACCTTTTTTAGAGTTCACAATTTTATAATTAGAGATGAAAATAGATTCTCAAGTCATCTTAAGAATTTTTTATATCAAAATTACATTTATTATGAAATTTAGAAGTGTCTTAATTGGATTGTTTAAGGTTGCAACCTTATGCAAACCACACCCTTTCTTTTGATACATAAGAAATTGGAAAAAGAGTGGGAGTTTGTTTTTTCTTACTAACTCTTTACTGGTTTTTCTACTCTCATGAGATCAATAAGTATAGATCAACTGGAACTTTCTTTCATTGCCCAATTTGCAAAAGCTTCCAGAGAGACATATCTTAGGACATCCCAAATGCTTATGCATTATAAAAATGTCTTATATAACTGCCCATATGGGATCATACCTGTGTAACCGCACATTAATACTATCCGGTACTCGTGTGGGCCACCCACCATCCATAGTTGTGAGTGGTGGAGATGAGCAGTGGTTCCACTTACAAGCGAATCACAGCTCATCTTTGTTATCTGTGGATAAGTGTGGGTGGTGGATATCCGATCTGAATACCTAAAAGTATTCTGACAATTAGGGAAATCATGCTACATTTAGCAAATGATATAAGCTTCAGGTAATTCAACTGTCTATTGGGAATTGTGATCAAACATTCCTCCACTCGATTCCCCTAATGCACGAGGTTAATCTCATCGGTCCTTTGTTGAAAATGAACAGGTGAGGTTACCTGCAATATAAATGTAGCAAATGATACAAGCTTCATCCAATTGTAACTGAGTATTCGGAACAATGGATGGTTGGGATGAAACATTCCTCCACTCAGACCCTTGATGTGTGAGGTTAATCTCATCTCTCCCTGGTAGAAAATGAACGAACAGGTGAGGTTACATCCAACATTGCATTTCTATGCTATATATGAAGAGACACAATCCAAAGATGTAATTTGCACAAATGACGTGGGATTAGAAGTAACAACCATATCATTTGACTCAATTATGGATTATGTTTTGGGAAAACTCAAGATTTTGGGTGAGGCACAAACTTCAAGCAGACCGGGTATTCCAGGGTGCAGACACAAATCCACCAAGGTTCCACTCCCTGTCCATCACGTGAGTCATGGCTGCTTATTTCAGGGGCTCTAAATCCACTAAGATCCCACTCCCATACACGGACCCAAGGTCAGGTCTACCCATGGGCTATGACTATGAGTGGCTGTCTTTTTTTTTTTTTTTTTTAACCATCATATAACCACATTATTGGCAACATTTACAGTATTGCACAACACTTATGAATATACCCACATTCTTTACTATTTTATGTAATAACTGGATATTCGTGAGAAATAAATGTGTTGGCAGCGTTTATGAATAGCCCACATACACCCATATTATTCGAGTCCGAATGGAGTTCAGCTGGGCTCGGACCCGAATCCGAATAGTATTCAGGTCTAGGTTGTGGATCAGGACCCGACCTTTCGGGTCCAAACTTTAGACCCATACCCGGACCCGAGGTTGGGTCTACCCGTCGGATCGCAGGTCTGATCTAGTCCATTGCCACCCCTACTGATTAGGGTAAAATTATGGAAAAATATCTTCATAGACCTTAATTTTAAGTTTCATTTCTCCGTAAACTCAAGATTTCAAAACCTATCTAGCTGTATAGAGATTTTATTTATTATATCTTCAAATCGCCTAGACCAACTTTATCTTATTTTTTAGCCCAAACAATTTTTACAAAAACATTCTTTTAAAACCTCTCTCCCCATGTTTTTCTCTTTCTCTTTCCAATCTCTCAAACATCTTCTCTCTCTATTCCTCCAACTCTCTCTCCTTTCCCATGTCTTCTCCCTGTTCCCCAACTTTCTCTCTCTCCTCGTGAGAGTCTCTCTCCTTCCCCATGTCTTCTCCCTATTCCCCAACTTTCTCTCTCTCCTCGTGAGAGAAGCACGTAAAGATAGAGAAAATAGAGAAATCTAGTTTTTTTTAGAGACGCTTTTTTCAAATTTGTTTGTTCAAAAAGTTAAGGTAAAAATGGATAAACTTAGTTTAGAGGGTCAGAAGATATAAAAGATGAAATCTCTATATTGTAAGATAGGTTTAGAAAGTTTGGGTCTACATATAAATGAAATTTAAAAATTGGGTCTACAAATATGTTTTCCCTAAAATTATCATTGTATTTTGGTGGTTGTTTCGAGTGGAACTCAAATGGCATGCATTTTTTCTGTAACAGTCAAGGCGACATTTTTTCTGCAAATTGGTACATTTGACCAGCTTATGATCTATTTGACACGTTTAGCAGGTTATGAGCCTAAAATCATGACAATCAAGTATCATGACCCAGGGCTGCCAAGCCATTTGTCTATGATAGATGTGAGCGATGATTATGAAGCAGCACGTATATTGAAAAAGCCTTCTCCCATTACAATACATGTCACACCAATCAATTGATCCATATTCCCCGGAAAATTGGCCTACAATGGTTGACATTGGTCCATCAATGAGAGACACATAAGATGATTGCCAAATTTTATGGTTTCTATTGAAAAATACGGTTCATTGAAAGCAATCAAACACTTATTTTGTTGGCGGCCGGACTCAAGAATAAGTCGTGCCCAAGGAAGGTGTTATCATAGGTCAAGATGTTGAAACTGAGACAGAGATACGTGTTATCATAGGTCTAGATGTTGAAACTGAGACAGAGATTGAATGCAACATTGACATCAGTGGAAAGCCCCATAAGAATGACTATCATACTTCAGCTGGTTGTTAAAATATGTAGCTATGGCTTCAGCTGCTGAACAAGACCACCGGATTTTACTTCTTTCCTTTCGCTTTCTAGTGTTTTGAATATTCCTCATTACAGGATCTCCCTTTGTATTAAATGGAACTTATTTTTTATATTAATGAAACCAGGTAGGCGACCAACCTTCCCCCTTAATTTACTCAAAAAAAAGGAATGAGCTGAGTCGTGTAGCCTTTGAAATAATCTAGGCTTGAAATTTTGCTTCAATCTCTTAGACCTTGAGCCAACATGTACGCATGTAGTTTCATTTTTAATTTTTGAGAAATTTATCAAAATACCAAAAAAAAAGATGAATTACTTAACATTCTACTCATTTGAAACTATTCAATGTCAAGATCATGTCTTTTACTATAAAGAATATTGGCTATTTCAAAATAGGTGCAGTTGGCTTACGGACGCCTCCGTAGGTGTAGAGGTAAGGTGCCGTTCAAATTTTATCGTGGTATATAATTTTGATGTAAAATGTTATTAGGATTATCTCAAAATCTATTTTTATATCTAATTATAAAATTTTAAATTTAAAAAATGGCTAAAATCAAGTAGATCTATAAACATATGAAAATCTTGAAAATAGACGGTGTAGATAATATGTTGTAAAATGCACTATTTCCTAAACTTAAAATCTTTTTATTTTTCATAGCTATACATCTCGAAGCCGAGATGATCAATCAAAGGATTTTTCAACATTAAAACTACCTTTTCCGATGGAATTTTTAAGGGCATCCATAGTTCTACATTATAAGGTAGCATCCTTATATAAACTTTTTCCTTCAAAATAATATCTAGTTTTAAAATATAGTTGGGAAGTGTTCATTATATTATTTGTAGAGAGAGAAGTATTGAGTTATTTATCCCAAATTCTCAAATATGAGAATATCTTAGGAAACATAAGGCCTATGAGGAGCACGCGAATTCTCAAAAAAATTTTACTTAATTTTTAATTGTTATGATTGAGAATCATAGAGTTACAACACTTCATCTAATAGATGTATTGAAAGTGAAGGTGAAAGGGCACTTTCTCTCTCTATAAATAGGAATTCACTTTTCCTCTAGCACCTAAGTTATCTACTACTATCGCAAACTTTCTCCCTCTAAAAAAGAGGCGATTTTGGTATTCTAGATCCTGCAATACTTATTCTTTGTATCATCCAGGTAGTCGATTAATCAAATGCTTCTTGTATCCTAATGACAAATTTACCAGTACAACTCACCTACCCGATTTCTAACATTTTGTTTATTTCTTATGGGTAATTTGATAATTTTTCCTCAATTTTTTATAAATAATTTTGAACTAAAATTGTTAATTAATGTGTCTCGCCTAAGCTCAGCAAAAAAACCAAATAAGAAATAATATGCTTAATAAGTGATCATAATATAATCAAGCTGTCAGTGAACAACGGCTGCAAATTGGTGGTTCAATCTAGGTTGTCAAGCTTACAGTAGTACCGTTACCCGGAAGACGAATGGAATATTATTGGTATATTAATTATCTTCTCCAATGGATTACTTAACAAGGAATTTAGAGAAGGGTGTGGTTTGCATAAGGTTGCAACCTTAACCAATCCAATTAAGGCACACCTCTAAATTTTATCATAAATATAATTTTGAGATAAAAAATTCTTAGGATGATTTGAAAATCTATTTTCATCTCTAATTATAAAATTTTGAACTCTAAAAAAGGTTCAAATCAAGTAGACCTATAAACACATGAAAATCTTGAAAATGGATGGTCTAGATGATGAGTTG